CCAACAGCAACCCACAGCTCAAAGCTGAATGTTTTAGTGACAGAAATCCAGCAGCGGCTACTTCTGCAGTAGCAAGATGCTTGGGACCAAGGGCTTTCTGATTGCCACAGTAGGATTGTGACACACGTTCTGCACATGCTGTAGCCTTGAGAAGCGTACGGAGTACTGGGAGCCTGAAAGCACTGAGGAATTCAGAAAAGCCTGGGACAGGCTGACAAATCAGTAAGGGCTATTCAGCACGTTCCACAAAGATTTCCCAAATGCCGAGATCAGGCTGCTTCTTGACAAACCACACGAACACAAGGATCACCACCAGGCCTACTTCAGGTGCGCTCTCCTAGTTAGTTTGGTTTTTGCAGGACTTGCTGCTGCCAAATGGAAGAGGCCTTTCCCAAACCATTTCCTTCCTGCAGCTCTTCCCTTTCTTGCAGTAGCTCTGGTAGCCACAGATCTTTTATGAGTGGATTCCACATACCAACCCAGAAGAAAACTTTTCAGGATTTCCACTGGGTTAGAAAGTTGTACCAGCTTATGGAGCCTCACGGGCACACACCAGAGCCCATGTGAGGTAAGACAGACAAAGAAAGAAGAGCAAGAAGGAGCCAACTGGCTCTTTAATTCTCCTGAAACCACGGCTTAATGTTTTCCAAGGGAAGAGGCTTCAGTTAGGCCAAAAATAAAGCAGAGAATATTGGAACTTCAAAGCATTCTAGTACAGAATCACTGAGGTTGGAAGGCATCGCTGAAGATTGTCTTGTCCAACACACCTTGGATCAAAGTTCAAAAAAACCCAGGTTCTGGCAACTCTAAAGATCACCTGAATCTGGCCAAATGAAAAGCTTCTAAAAAATACCACAATTCACACAAAGACTTGCTAGAGTTTTTCAGCTCATTTTCCCAAAAACAGTTTACAATGCAGGTTCCTAGCCACGACTGAGCAGTGTGTTACTGAAGTTACTACACAGATTTTGTACTATAGAAAATAAAGTCCCATAAAATTCAAAGCATCTTAAATCTAAACCCAAAGCTGCACAAGTCTTTTTGACCTTAATCTTTCTGTACCTCATACATAAATGAAGCCCCCATCTTCTGAGCAGGCAGATGCTCTGACCACAGATTATGTGCCTGAATTCACTTAGACATGACAGAGAAAGCAATCTGTAGAAAATTTGATGAAAGACAACAAAGTGGTCTTTATAGCTGGATTCGGTTAAACAAACTGCATGGCACATAAGCAGCAAAGCGGGGAGAAGGAAGTAGTGCATTTGTACTCACTGAAGAAGCACATCTGTTCCATGCGTTGAGTTAGACAACACACATGGAAGATAGCACATGACTATGGCACTAGAGATGCCTCATCAGGGCAAGGGATTTGAATCAGAGTTAGATAATTTTAGAACTGCTCAACCTTCAAGAGCTTGGTTCATACGCATATTAGTAAATGCAGAATATCTTTAAAACATTAGCTGTTCTTCTTGGTAGAAACTTATTTCAGCTTATGCTAATGCACAAGCTACATTAAGTATACAGCAGTAACTATACTGGTCTGTCATCAGTTTAATGGAATAATTTTAAAATTTCACTCAGTTCTCATGCTCCATACCATCCATGCGCAGCAAATGCATACCTATCCAAAAAGTCAGCCGAGCACATTTCCCCATTTTATAACTTCTTATCATAAAAAAAAAGTTAAAGATAATTCGTACTCTGATGCTACCAAGATACTGCAGGATATTTATAAATCAAAAATGAAAGAAAACAACCCCTTCAAGAAATTGCCTTTACTTTGTAGCTCTTGACATAGTTTGGCTCAGAACCAGATATCTCACGTCAATGAAAACAATGAAAGCAATCTAATGTTAAGAGCAATTAATTAAACATAACAAATTTACAACCACCTCATTTGTAAATGGTGAATTAAGGACTTTCTAAACACACTGGTCATTAACCTAAATGACTGAACCTGTTGCAGACAAAATTTACTGCAGAGATCTTGTGCATCAAGTCTTGCCCTCAGGAAAACTCTTATAGCCAGCTTATAAAGCCTGGAAATAGGGTATATAACATGAATACCAGAAGACCCTTAAAATACCACAAAATTAGCAAGTGCTGTTGTTACATGCCGTATGCTTAAAATGTAATTGCCCTCCTTCCCGGGCTTTAGTTTTTCAGGATGTTCCGGCTGTATGTTGATATACATACCCTGACTGTAAAGTTCAATAAATCTCTTCTGATACTGTGTTAGCTCAGCTCGGCTGGGTACTTCATCAATCTTGCGTTGTAAAATGGCTATTTCTCTGTTTCTTCGTGCCTGAATAGAAAGTTAGGAGGGGAGAAAACAAAGCCTCTTCTTGTTCTCTTCTTAAAACGGATGAAGCCCCCCCCCAGCAATATTTTGTTACTAAATAATTAATTTAAAAAAAAAAAAAAAAAAAGGTGTTGGCTGAGGCTCATTGGGTTTTTTGTAATTGATTTGTGACAGAAGAACTTTTAGAACAACAAAAAGAAGTATTAGAAGTTAGAAGATAAGAAAAATGTCAATAATTTTGTATGAGTAAATTTACAGAGAGTTACTCACCAATAACAGCCGGATCTTTTGAAGTTTATCTTTCTCAGTTTTGTACTGCTGTTCTATAATCTTATTCGGCTCCTAGAATTTGAGAACCCAAAACAATTGTGTATTACAGTAGCAAAAATGTGCAGCCTGGGTTTGTTTTCTGTGTTTGTCTATCTTCCGTTTAATGGCTCCCACAATAACACCACCACTTGCTGTTATTTCTTTTAACAATGATTCATAATCTGCATTAGAAAACTGACAGCTTTTACTGCAAATAAGTACATTTTGCTAGCTTTTAAGCCTTTAATGTTTTAGTTTTTAAGATTTATCAGTAGTTTTTCCACTGCTTTACAACAGTCACGCTTTAAATGAAGATACGTATCGGAAGATTGTCCGTACTCCTTGTCTGAATGTTTATACTTTGACTCAGTGGCGGGATTAAGGATAAACATGGCCCAGGACAGAACACAGACCCTCTGACATGTACTCTAGATTTCCTGGATTGTGGACTTTCAGATAATTTTTTCTTGTTTAAAAATGTAAGATTTAGGTTGCATTTTATTTTTTCATGCTGTGTTCAGAAGGACAGCAGCATCATGGAACCTGTAATCTACCTCAGTTCACAGGCATAAATGTATCAAACGTTTACCCACTGAAAATACAAGTAATTCAAGCTTTTCCTTTTCTGTTCATTCATTATTCATCGCCATCAGTCTGGATGCACTTGTGTTAAAGCCTAACTTCTGACAACTGCTCACAGCATGCAATGTACTGAGCCACTGAAAACTTGTGCTTTCATTCTTCAAATAAAGCCACTTTTAAGAAAAAAACAACCAAACCAAACATGCTTTCTCAGGAAGACCTGCTTTTGTCAGACGTATGCACTGCTCTTAACACAACAACCAGAGATTCTTCTCTGGTACTACGAAGTAAAAGGCACAAAAGCATCTATGAGTTAGCCCCATAGATGCTGCAACAGTAATGAAGAATACTGCAACTATTCTCAGTCTACTGTATTTCTATGATTATTAGCCTGAACCGTGGCTTTACCAGTGGGGGAGAATAGAATTTTTCAGAGATTGCAACAGATACTTCAACGCTTACAAGAACGTGCCAGAAGTCAGAAGGACCTAAACCAGTATTTTAAAACACAAATTGAAAAGAAAAACTTAGACATTTGCTATTACCTGTTCCTCCCCATTTTCCACTGCCTCAGCCTTCAAATTCTCGATATTTTGTTGAAGTCTCTCCATTTCTTCCTTCAAAACAAAAGAAGTTTTTGTTGCTTTTAACTGAGACCTATCCTCTTAACAGGGGAGAGCAAGAAACTTGACAACATACACTTCTAACAAAATTGTGGAGCTGACCACACACTTCAGATTTGTAAGACTGAACAGCATTCCCTGCTTAAGGGTAAGGCATCCATTATTACTCATTACATAAAACTGTCTGCTTTTATCAAACACAGGAACAAGCTTATTTCTTACTTGCAAATACACTAGATCCAGCTAAGACAACTAATAAGTGACATGGAAAATGAAACTGAGGAAGCAAAGGAATATTACATTAGCAACAGCATGACATGGGGTTGCAACTTACGGCATTTGCAAAAATGAATGAACCTGAAGTTACTTGCAAGGTAGTTTCCATTACAACCCGTTAGAGCTTTCCAAAGGAGTATTATGGGAAAATGAGGCTCCTATGCTCATCAGTCTATGCTTCAGGGCACTACTTCTTTTTACTTCTTTTTACTTCTTTTCATTCTATTAAATCCCATCCACTACTGCTTACGTAGAAGAGAATGAAAACAATTCTCTCCAATCATATTTCTAGGCAGTCCATAAACACAGCACTAAACAGGACAGCAAAACATAGTAATTAAGCAGTAAAACTAAAACGTGCTCTGAAAACTGCAATAGTGTCATCTCAGTCTTGTCTCTTTTGGTGGGTTGCTCCAAAGCTAGGGGCCTTCATGAAGCCTCCTCTTTGGCACTGTTCCTCTCCTCAGGTCACTGTTGGCTGCATTATCCAAGAAGAGACCATCGATTTCAGGTTGTGAAGAGCACAGGTGGGTATCTCGTACAGCCCAATCTCAAACTTACATTTTAGTGCTCCCTGTCAAACCCAAGTTGCTCTCAGCAGAATGGTAATGGGAATGAGGAGAGCCACAGCTGTGACCAGTACAAGGCTGATCTGGCATTATATGTCTAGTTACTGCCCTGTATTAAAGAGTCCCAGGCACAACCGAACATTGAAGGCTGCACTAATTTGGATGCCTTGGCAGCCTTCCTTACACCTCCCTGCCTCAGGACAGGGTTAATCCAATTCCAACCTTCTTGGTCATCAGCCTTGGTGCAGATATGATGCGCTGCAGAACTGGGCAACTGTCCATAATTCTGCCATGAATCAAGCTGGTGGCAATATTCAATGTGAATCTGGAAATACCACTAAACAGGGCAGGGTAGTGGGTGGCGACAACAGGGACACACGACACGACGACAAATCAGGAAGAAATATAATGCTTATTTACCAAGTTTTAAATGAATCCTTATATAAGAAACTAAAACTTACCCTACAATGTGCTTTGAACTCTTGTTCCTGGCTTTTTAGGTTTTCATTCATGGCCACCAGTGCTCGCAGACTCTGTAATATGCTAAATTTGAAGATCCAATAAACCACATTAGACTTTTTAGTTTCTTATTTAAACAAATGGAGAACTAAAAGACATAAGATGAAGCTTAGATCTAAATAAATTTCCAATAAAATCTGTGTAAATTAAAACCCCAAATATCACCACTGAAATACCAAGGTCAAAATAAAAACGTACTATTTACACTGAGTATTTTGATGGTTTTGCTATGCTCTGACCTCATTATCGTGGAAGTTTTGAGAGAGCCTCCTATTTAACTTATGTGAGATGAAGCCTTCAAATATCAAGAAAATAAATCAGGAAGGCCTCATCTACTTGTCAAATATGTCTAGGGTTCTTCCGCTTTGAACACCTACAATTATTTTCAACTACAGATTGACACTTTTCATTCTGACTGAATACTATGGTAATATTTTCCTGTCTTTGGAAAGCAAGCTGGAGAATTATTTAATTTTTAAATTTTAGTTATTTGTTTAGGTTGACAAAGCAAGAAACATTGAATGATTCATTTTAAAACCATCATTTTTCAGAATTTCAAAGGTCACAAAGGAAGAAACTTACCTAGAATCTGCTTGGGATTCTATTGTTTCTAGGGCTGCCAATTCCTTGTCCAGCTTTTCACCATAACTCTTAACCTAAGGGTTGCAATTAATAATAAATTGAAATACACTCCCACACATAAAAGGATTCATGGTACTCTGCTTTCCCATACCATGAGATCAGTGAGGTAAGCTGTCAAACACCTTCACCATTTAAGAAATCCCTCTACACACAGAACTTCTCAAAAATGATTCAGCTAGAATCCGTGCACAGAAAAACACAGAAAGATTACCTCAGTTAATGACTTTTTTGCTTCGGTACATTTTGCCTGCAGATCAGCACATTTAGCTTGCAACTATTATGAAAGAGAAAGAAGAGAGTTTGATTCTATATTCACACTAATTACACCTGTAATGGAGAATAGCAATATTTGAGCTGTTAATAATGGTTGTCTACTAAATACTAGGCCAACCATCGCAAACACTGTCTTCTTGTCACCTACTCTGAGAGGATTGGATTGCAAGAATTCTGATTGAATATTTAATTAATAATAGCAAACATTTTTTACCTGACCTTTTAGATGTATTAGGTCCCAGAATAAACAGCATCTTTTACAAAAATGGATGCCAACAGAATCGTAACGTATCGGATAGAATCTCTGCTAAATTGCTCACGGTTATTTAGCCTGGTTACACTGGCCTGGTTTCATACCAGGCTACGAAGAGAGTCCCATTTTGTACTTCTCCAAACAAGTTAGGGTGATTCAAGGCTTCCATAAAAGTGCCATGGCACCATACCATAGACATGTCCATACCAAATAAGCAAGCTGGTTTATAATTTTATTTTGTGTAACTATGGAAAGTCTAATAAGAAGGCAGTTAGCAAAATGCCACTGGATATTTCACTTGTCAAATAATTTACAGAGGCTAACTTTAGAAGAACATCCTTCTTTAAAGTCCTTACGATTTAAGATAATATTGCAAATAGTAACTACAAAATTGGGACATGGGTTACAAAAGTGAAGCAGAAGTGTTGCAAACAAAGAAATGCACACTTGGCTTTCTGTTCCACTTCTTTTCATGCTGATTTAGTTTGCTGTTCACAACATGGAGCTGTGACTCAACACTCCACTCATCCCTTTCCACAGCCAAATTTATAAAAAGAAAGCTTTTTCATCATTTTTCATACTTTTCACCAATAATTCACCAGTAGACTGAATTCTAACTAGCTGGAAAAAAAATAATATAATTTAAGCCTGCAGTCCACATCTCATGAAAACTGACATAAAGATTAAAGAACTATTTGTTATGAGAACTCTTGCCCCAAAACTTATAGCAGTAGTGAAGCCAGAACTTCACAAACGTTTTTTTAAAAGGGGGGTCTTGACTGTCACTGATTTCAAAAGCTGTCTTTGGCAAGCAGTAAAAAAAAAAAAAAAAAAAAAAAAAAAAAAAAAACCAGGAAATTTTTTA